TAATGTAATGCTTGAGGTTCATCATCTTCCTGTTAATTAATTTATGATATAATTTACCCTTGCAAATAGTGAACCTAATCTGGCTAGAATATTTGGATCATTTGGTACTTTGTTCAACAATTCTAGATACCATTTCATTGCTTATTTTGAGTTTCCTGTCATTTCATAGAGTGTGGCCATTTAATACAAAACCTCAGGGATACAGACAATAGTTTATAATTTATCTAATGCCTACAAGGATTCGATAAACATATTCAATTTTCTATTTACATAGGCCAAATTGTAGAGTGCTTCTATACAATCTGCTTCAACACCTATAGCTTCTAGATATTATTCTTTGGCTCTCAAGAATTCATTTTTCACATATAAACAATTTCCTCTGTTAACTAAGGCCTTAGCATTATATCGATCATATGTAATGGCAATTTCAGCATATTTTTCAGCTTGTTTATAATCATTTTCTAAGAAATACAAGAAGGAGATGTTTGTAGCAATACGAGCCATGATTTGCTTGTCCTTTTTTTCGAATCCCTTGAGTGTTTCTATAGATTTCTCAATATTCTTTTTTTTTAAATAGGCCATAGCCTTGCATATTTCGATTTCAGTTTCAGCTTCAGGGAATGTAGAATTCTTGAGTTATTCTAAGATCCATTCATATCCTATAATAATGTCATCTTCAATCAATGGAGCAATCAGTTTTGCTGAAGTGGCAATATAATAAATGGCTTCTCTTCTTCTTTCTTTAGTATCTTCTCTCAATTTATCTGTAATAGTAGTTCCCTTGTTTTCATTATTCTCTTCTTCACCCTCTCCTGGTATTTCGATGGTTAAGAGAGTAACAAAGTAGTCCTTCATTTTATTCTTATTTCCACTAAAATACAAACAAATCAGAAGATTGAACCCAGTTGGGAAATCAGGTGAATTCTTGAGTATTTATTCATAAGTGGTCATTGCCTCTTTGATTTTATCTTTGCCCATCCTTACTTGAGCATGACCAATGTTTTTTTGTATTTTGAATCTCATTTCCTTGGAGGTGGCAGGGATCAAATCCAAAGCCATTTTGTACATTTTGATGGCAGTAGAATATTTTTTCTATTCAAAATAAATGTTTCCCATATTGACTCTTAATCGTCCTGCTTGTGGATACTATTTACATTTGATGATTTCTTGATATTTTGCTAAAGCATCTTGATGGAGTCCATTCGCATGTAATGCACATGCTTAAGTTAAGGCTGCACAATAACTTAGGTCAGGGTTGATTGATTCAACTAAATTTTAGGCTTCTTTAGATTGTCTTAGTTTCTTTTCTTTGTTGAATGCTTCTTTAGCCTTCTCCAGACATTCAGAGAGATTGCCTCTCAATTTAGCCATGGCACTCTATTCAATCAAGGTATTGATTTCTTTTTCGATTGCTTTGAACTATTCTTCAGGATTAGTTTCAAGTTTGGGTTTATTCAAATTAATTTGATTTTGAGTAGAATTGAAAGGGTCCTTCTTCTACCCAAAATTGGCTCCTCTATTGGAAGTCATAGGTCTTGCTTCAGCTTGAGGTTGTCTGGCAGCTGTGCCTAGAGGTTTGCCTCGAGAAGGTTATGGTCCACCTGGTGCAGGTTATTATGCCTAAACTTGAATGAATAATGTTTTACTCTAACGTTTTCAAAATTGTAATTATTGACAGGGGGTTTACTACCAGTTTGATTGAAATTATTGCCACTCATACCAAAGGCTCCATATTAAGATTAATTCATTATATATATATTATTATTTAAAATTTTCTTAAAATAATTCAATATTTCTTATTATTTCTTCTAAATTAAATATTATCACCTTCTCATTTCACAATACTACTTCTCATTGCATTAATCTATTCAGATAATTATTATTTAAATTTTTCATGATTAGCTTCCTTTCTTGTCTTTTAATAATTCGAACAGTTGTTATTAGAAATAATTTAAATTTTATCTTACATTTGCAATGATTATTCATGCTTTCATCATTGTTGTATTCATTCATTTTATGGATATCGATGATTTACGTTAACCATCTAAATTTTTTAAGCTAAAGCAAAGCTCTTTGATAATATTATCTTTTGTCATATAAGCTGGTATTAAAATTGCCTTCTTATATATTCTTTCTTGATTCTTATTATCAACTATGGTTAAGTAGAGACTTTTTATAATTTTGACTTTGCTGCATAATTAATTATAGAAATCTAGATTTCCTTTTCTATCCCTAGTCTAATTCTACAGGCATCTTAGAACTCCTTATTGTATAGCCAAGTGTTAAGGGATATCTTCAACCTCTCATGTTGCTTTTGGATGATTATTTTGCCTTATTCATATCTTTAGATTAATATATTAATTAAATAAAATGTCTAGAGCAATTCGTAGATATGTGAATGCCAAAGAGGAGATGGAATACGAGCGAGGATATTCAGCTGAAGAGATGCAAGCAGCTAAATTGAGAAAGGCATTTGTTTAGAAATTTATTGCTGACTTTGACACTAATTTTTACAAAACATAAGAGGAAAGAGAT